TATTTTATGTGAAAACGTATGTTTATACTATCTTGTTTATTTTTATTAATTAAAGACATATTATAATAAAACTACTTTTCTAAGTACAACGTTTTTTAATTGACTGAATTTTTAAATTTGTGTGATATTGAATCATTTTGAAAAAATATTATTTTTCATTCAAACTTTGATTGAAAATAATAGCTTTTAATTTAAAACACTCATCATACCCAGTATACAAAATTAATGCATTTCGAAACTGTAACATGTTTTTCATCATTAAAGAAAATCTTTTCTTTAATGACTTTTCATGCGGTAATTTATGAAAAGATGCTTGAAGCCATGTTAAATGCGATAGCTGATACATACAGTGATGCTGAGAACTCTTCATACAATGTCATTGACTGCATGTATAATAGACTTCCTTTAATGATCAGCATGTTACTAAACTTCATTTGTCTAACGATAAAAAACCTAGCTAATCAATTCAGTATTAGATATACTTTCTAATACGATGGTGAAGAAAATTTTTATTATCAGTACGATTATTTCTTAATAGATAGCAAAAATAATCAACAAATAGAATAATTCTTTTTCTTTTATCCATACTTCAATAATTAAACGAGTTACATCCTTATCATTTCCGTCATACTATGATACAGATTTCTGGCACGTATAAAGATGCAAAATAATAGAAGATAAAGCCATAATTCATTTAAATCTTGATATTGCGACGAACGAAAAAAAAACTGATTCTATCAGCTGATTGCTTTTGCTATTTCTTTCATCTTCACTTAAAGTCAAATTTTCATTGTATTATTTTGTTTCTTTGTTTTGTTAAACTTAATTTTTTTTCTACTATTTCTTTGTACAGTCGAGAAAGTTTAGCCCAGTGATTTCTGCATCAAGCTCACTATTTTTAGACAATGTATTTGAGAGCAACACAACAAAAAACGTTTTTGTTTCAGGACAAAGCATCGAAATTAATTGTTGTAGGCGTTATTTTTCACTTGCATTTGAGATGAAGATAAGTAATAGTACTCAAGCTTGGAAGATCACACTAGGTTTCTGACTGGTTCCCAATATTATAACCAAAATGAATGATTAAATAATTATCAAAAGTAATATTTAATTTTTTTTTTTTAGTTTTCTCTTATATTTTCTTGTAGGATATAACACGATAATACACGTATACAGTGTTAGTAGTCTATTAAAATTTTGAAAATAATTATGTTCTTGAACATAAATGCATACAAAGTAAAACATGTTGCAAACTTTTTGTCCCGTCCAATATATTCTCTCTCTATTCTATTGATAGCATAATAAAAAAGATGATGATGTTGGACGAAATTTACTTTTGTGGATTTTCTTCGTAGTCTGAAGAAGTCAACATTGTTGATGAAATGTTACGCAAAATAAATTGAACAATAGGAAGAGAAATTATAAATATTAATTCAATTTAATAACATATCATTTCTCTCAAGTTATGATATCAGTTTATGTATTTAATAGAGATAAACAACTCAGATGTTTCGTATTAGATGTAAAATCCGCGAAATAAAAAATCAACTCGTCTAAATTCAATAAACTAAGTATAAAAAGAAACTCGATCTTTGACAAAAAATAGTTTGTTCATTCAATTATACAACTATATTTTTATTGCTTCTCAATATGCCTTATTCATTTTCTCTAAATAAAGCAGTTAGTTATACTCAATTTTTTTTTTAGTTAACTTATAACTCACTCATGCAGATCAAATCATAAGTCGATTTCAGGAACGAGTAACAAAAGAAATAACGGCAGTAAAATTAAGTAAGAAGCAGCTCGGCTTGTGTCTTAATCTATCGTTAACTGTTTTAGGTACAGGTGTGTGTGTGTACTAAGTATTTCTCACTGTTATCACACACACACACCTTTTCCTCGAACTCAAAAATATCACACACACCTTATGACCACCAGATCACGTGTGATAAATAAAATACGTTATAATAGCGCATGATGGAATATATAAAGAATAGAAAGAAATTTGAATTAGTACTCAAAGTTTGCGTACTTGAGAAAGTTTGCACATGTTCAGCTCTGTTATATCTAACGATGAATAATCAAAACACTTTCGTTGAAAATGAATATATTCATGAAAACATGTTAAAATATTTAATGCTTGATAACGAATAGTACATTTAATGGCGAATGACGAAATAATCTCTGTTAAAAGTCCATTTGCATGTGAAAATTTGTTAGAAAATTCATCTGTTTTAACAATCGCTCCGAATTTAACGGAAAATAATCATATTTTACTCGGAAACTTTTTTAAACGTTCTTTTCACTTTTAAATGGGAAGTCATACATCTGTTACAACCACAATAGATGTCGTTAAATTTTCTTTCATTGTTACGCAGGAATCCATGCACCTGTTGATACGAAAACCAAAAATGTAATCATCAGTTTTCTTTCTCATTGGATTTATCAATCAAAGTCCAATATTGATAGATTACAAAGAAGAACCGCACTATATAAATAAGCGTGAATTGAAAAATATTTTGGCTGATAAATATACAGAGAAATATATTCATGGAAAGCAATCTTATAGGTAAGTGTGAATATTTTGATGATAAGCCTTTACTTTTGATTGTTGATATCTTAAATGTTATGAATATGAGTATAAAGTCAAGTGTCGTTATTGCTATTTCGAAAACATATTATTCATATAATTGTAGCAGTGGTATGTTTACTTGCTTTTATGGCAATATGTTGCACAGTAGATGCAGCACCTGTTAACAGTTCGTGTCCATTACCACCAAAACTAGGATCTACGTATGATTATGATTGGAAATCCAAGCCACATGAATGGAGTAATCCAAACGTCAAAACTGCTTCCCTTCAGCTTGCACTCTCCTGGTAAATATTCTAAAATAATTTATTTAATCCTCTACATAGAAAAACCTAGGTCACCAACATATTGTGCATCACTTTCAAAAGGAGAGCGAGATCAACAATTTCAATGTAAACCTAGTAATGATTTTGGTTTAATTGTTCATGGTTTATGGCCTCAAGCATCGAGAGCATCATCGGTTAAAGATCATCCACGTAATTGTCGAAATGAAAAACAATTAAATGCAACAATGATTAAACGATTCTTTTGTATGATGCCCGGTGAATATCTCCAACAATCTGAATGGGAAAAACATGGTTAGTTTAATTTTAAAAAAAATCAAATTTCTTCTTTTTAAATAATTTATATTTTCATAGGTACATGTTATTTTGCAACAGCAACTGATTATTTTACAACTGTAGAAAAATTATATAAATCATTAAATATTCCTGATATTCGAGCAATGAAAAATCCAACAGCAACAACTATAAAAGATTCATTTCTTAAACTTAATCCAAAATTACCTTCATCATCTATAAAAGTAATAATGGAATCATCACGTTTAAAAGAAATTGATATATGTTATGGTCTTAATCTACAATTTGCTAATTGTTAATCTTAAAAAAAAAAAAATTTTTATGATTTGAAATAAAATTAAAATAAATACATGAAAGAAAGAAATAAAAATTTCTTTTATTTTTGAATTAATCAGCTTTTAATAAAAAACGTAACTATTTCGTAATTCAATTCACATTTATTAATTTTGATTCCATAAACACTAGCTATTCAAGTTTTTCTATGGCATTTCGTTGTATATAATCGATTTTTTTTGCTCTATTTTATTCTTTGATCTCTATTGTTTTGAAAAATTTTACATTTGCCAATTTTTTCTATAAATATTACAGCTAGGCATAGGACAGAACAGTAAAAATCTTTATTTTAACTTTCGATTACTATAGCTAATTTATTTCGTATCACTTTCAAATAAAACAACTAAAGTTTTCAATAATGACTAATATTTTTAAATACTAGAAAATATAGAAATATCTTGCTTATTATTTTAATGACACGTTCACCACAGCAAACAAATATTAAAAAAAATATGAACTTGTGGAATTGTGTCATCATTATCTTAACATATAGTAGATACTATTAATATAAAAAAATGAATAAAACAATGAAAAAGTACTTGATAACAAAACTGATATAAAAGAAAAAGAGGTGAACACAGGACAACGTTGCCTGTTCGGTCCTGCTCTGCTGCGCCTTATTCGATCCTGACGGACGGTAGGACATGATATGAATTATATTCAATTAAGTTATTTACTTTTATTCTCGTGTCGATCATAGTAGCATGTTATTCTATAGGATTGAAAAAGTTGCAGACTTAAAAACTAGCAAAATTGATAGATGTAATACATTTTTAATATAGAAAAAAAAAATGACTATAATTTTAATAATTCTTATTGATGTGAACAACAATTGGTAGTCATTCTCTCATTATCATTAGACACACTGGCTAGCCAATCTAAGGTGGATCCTTCATTAATTGTTAATAAACGATAGTTATTTTCATTAAGAACTTCTGTATTGATAAGATGATGTTGTACAAGTAAACCAACTGTTGTCAAAGCTAATTTTTCTTCTACAGCTGGTCCTCGATTTTGCCAATATTCACCAAATACACCATGTGAATCAGCAGGGTTTAGTTCAGAAACAATAAAACCCTGACGAGCAATAGCTACAGTTAATCGATGCATATCTTGATCAGCAATGAGTACAGGTATAGGACCATTGTATTTTGCTTTGTGAAATTCATTAACAAAAGCATCAAAAGTATCGGCAACAGGATGATTCGATTTACTTCTATTGAATCTAGGTAAAGCTAATATGACAGCACGTATGTTTTTGTATAATGATGCATCACGTTCGAGTACAGTAAGAATTGCTTTAGCTGATAGTGCTCGTACTTTTGCATCGATTCCAATATGATTACCAGCAAATACACCAAGTCCAATACCGGTTTCAACAACAATTTGAACACCTTCTGCATCGCATGCTTGTAGTCGTAGTCTAACCATACGCATCAAACTGTCTTGAACACGTTCTTTATGAAGTTTGCCTCGGGGTTCATTGACGTTTACATAAAAATCTCTTCCATTATAAACTAATGGTAAACGTGATTGTGGATCAATTTGAAAAACTTCTCTCCAATTCGATACATAGTAAAGAATGTCGCCTACATCATGTTTTCGACCGGCAAAATCAATACCTGTCACTGAAACAAGTTTTATTCGGTTAGGCCAATTGTCATTTAAGTTACGACGTATAATTTTAGCATCGAATTCCATCAAGATTGGACATGTTGAAATCCGTACAACAAATTTCATACGAAAGGCTTCTTCACCATCTTCACTCTTTCCTTGTAGAGCACGCTTAAGAAATTCTTTGTTCATACCTCTAATATTGTTGTCAGCATAAACTCTATATGAACGTTGCCAATTCATGATTTCTTGTACAGACATGGCAAATGAATTGGTGGTGTTAGAAGGAAAGCGAATTTCTGTTTCTGGTTTCAGAGAACTCACACTGTTATCCAATTTAAATGATCTTACACCTTGAACAATATATTCTCCAGGTATGTTTCGGAAACCGAATGTTTGGGAAAGAAACTTTTCCATTTGATCAGTTTGATGACCGCATGAACCACTCATCGGTCCGTTTTTATCCATAGGATCCAGATGCATGAGATCTCTAAATAGGTTGTGTAATCGTTGATCAGTAATATGATCAAGACCAAATGGGACAATTTCATAGGATGATGATTTTGCTTGGTTAGCCATTTAGATGATTAGTTATGTTCACAGAATGCAAGGTGACAAAAATTCAGTAATAAAAGAAAACGATTAAGTAGAACTATTGATGTTATATATTGGATTTGTTTTATTTACTGTCCTGTTGAGTTAAAGAAAGAAAAAAACAAAGTATGCTTCCTCTAGTAGTGACATGTATGTCATGAGTTTCTTGTTTCATCATCACAATGTTTATTGCAATGAGTCATTCGACAGCTTGAGAATAGTGGCTTATAATTGGTTTGTAAGTCGGCCAATGTTCTAATATACAATTCTTGTGCGTATACAGAAAAAATATATGCATGAAGCTAATAGTAAAGACAGAGAGAAAAGTATTTGCATTAAGGAATAAAAACAGGTTTTCCTAAATAGTCATTTAAATAGATTTTAATGTCAGAAAAAGACTTTAACTTCATGAGACTAGTATAACGTAACTTCGATCGAAGACAAGAACCCGTAAGTCAAAGAATACTCAAGATAAGTCAATTCATACTGCTGCCTAACAGTTACAAATATTTTTAAAAAAGGAAACATAATTTCAGAGACTCATTGTTTACTAGAGATGCATATATCTTCACCTTTACATTGTCGAATAGAATTACAATTGCATCGACATCATGAAAAGTTATGGTTACTGTATTAAACATGGTTCGATAGAGTTCAACAAGTTCTACGAGAATATGAATATCAAAAAATTCTGATCTAGTTTGCAATACAAAATTTGAAGGAAACTAGAAAGATTGATAAAAATTTCATACATCAAGCATGAGAGAGTGAGTAAGCCGAATTTTCAATAACTTTAGCTAGTCGACTGTTACAACTGTTCGTGCGACTCGAAAGGGTTATTTTCAAATTCAGTATATGACACTGCATCTCGGAATACTAATCAACAGTTGATCAACTAAAGTTATTAAAAACTAAGCATACTATCTCATGCAATAGATGTGAGATTTTTATTAGTCGGTCTGGTTTCCTTCAAGTATCATATTGAAAACAGGATGAAAATTTACTTTTTTTTCGATATTCAAATTGTTGTACAGCTTGTCGAATTCTATTGAATCATGTAAAGTTAAATGTAAAAGACTTAGTCATAATTAATAAAGCAATCATAACTTTACATGATCTCGATAGAATTCAAATTTTTTTTTCTTTTCAGAGAACAGCTTTAATCTTTCTCGACAAAATTCTGTATGTCAATCAAATATCTATATATGTATTCATATAGATAACATCGATTTTACAGAGAGAGATTGAAACTTCTGAACTAACATTTATAAAGAAAATCCAACTTCGAATGAAATTTTGTTTGTCTTAGTCGGCTGCTGAAGGAAGAAATATAATTGACAAACTAAATTTACAGTTGAGAAATAATACGAAAAAACAAACTATTTCCTGTAATTGAACGGAAGGAAATATATTTAGTTAGTCGGTTTTGCTGTGAATAAAGCATTGCCATCTTCGAATTATTCCGTTCAACATAGGGTTCTAAATGAAATTTCTTTTTGTATTGTAAGACAATGAATGTGATCATGAAATTATGTGTGCAATTAAACCTATAATTTATTTGGGTACTGAGCCATATTTCTTTTTTTCAACTAAAACAGTAACAAAGATAGGTAGATTCGAAACACATGACATTATAGTTTTTTTTTTCTTTTTTTAAAATGTTTGCTGTTCTTTTCTTTCATACTATTTTTTTTGCGTTCTTATCAATCAATGCAATCTACTCGTCGCGTCATAGAAAAAGAGAAATAAAAATATTATGATTCATGCACGTTGTCAAACGTTTTATTTTATTCGGTGAAAATTGCAAAAGCAACATTTTCTCAAGAGTTTCAAAGAAATTAAACGTCTGCTCTTTTGAAATAAAAAACGGATAATATCGACATGTCCACATTAAACAGTACTCCAAAACTTTGTCATCGTTGTACCAAAGATCGTCTTACATCTGCATGTGATGGATGTCATGTATCATTCTGTGTCAAACATCTGACTGAACATCAACAAGAACTTTATCAAACAATCGACAATATTAGTGAAGAAAATGACTCGCTCAAACGAGAACTAAGTCAACGAGGTATTGAAAAGATATTACTAGAGCAAATCGATACCTGGGAAAAAGAAACGATTAACAAGATTCGATCTACGGCAAAAACAGCTCGAACGGACATAAAACAATTAACTGAAGAATCAACAAATCGATTGATTAGTATCATGAATAAACTTTCGAATGAACTTCATAAAAATCAAAAAGACCATCAATATATAGAAGATAATCTGAACCGATGGACAAAACAAATTGAAGAATTGAAAAAGGAGCTGCAAATACCACCCAATATTGAGTCATTTCTGGAAGATGACTCAACAATTGTTCGTCTAATAAAGATAAAAAGCTCAGAAAAGATAGAACCAAATCAAACGGATCCATCTCCTCAAACTGAAAGTCGTCTTGAGAACAGATCAAGCAAAATAGCTCCATCTAGCACATCACCGTCAGATAGTTCTGCTGCATTAAATAAATCCGAATCAATAGCTAATGTGAATATATCATCATCTCAATCCAGCTTTTATCCGTCTCTAACATTTGGATTTAATCAATCTAGTAATCAAGTTATACAGCAGTTATTCGAATATCTCATGCGACTTGATCCTATGAATAAAAATGGACCGATGAGTGGTCCATGCGGTCATCAAACTGATCAAATGGAAAAGTTTCTTTCCCAAACATTCGGTTTCCGAAACATACCTGGAGAATATATTGTTCAAGGTGTAAGATCATTTAAATTGGATAACAGTGTGAGTTCTCTGAAACCAGAAACAGAAATTCGCTTTCCTTCTAACACCACCAATTCATTTGCCATGTCTGTACAAGAAATCATGAATTGGCAACGTTCATATAGAGTTTATGCTGATAACAATATTAGAGGTATGAACAAAGAATTTCTTAAGCGTGCTCTACAAGGAAAGAGTGAAGATGGTGAAGAAGCCTTTCGTATGAAATTTGTTGTACGGATTTCAACATGTCCAATCTTGATGGAATTCGACGCTAAAATTATACGTCGTAACTTAAATGAAAATTGGCCTAACCGAATAAAACTTGTTTCAGTGACAGGTATTGATTTTGCCGGTCGAAAACATGATGTAGGCGACATTCTTTACTATGTATCGAATTGGAGAGAAATTTATGAGATGAGTCATATAAAAGATGAACCAGCATTACTTAACGAAAGGGATTTTCGTCTAAAGAAATTATGTCCAGCAGGTGAACTACATCAAAAGCGTCTTCTGAACGATTTAATACATATGGCTAGGTTACGATTACGAGCATGCGATGCAGAAGGTGTTCAAATTGTTGTTGAAACAGGTATTGGACTTGGTGTATTTGCTGGTGAACATATTGGAGTCGATGAAACAGTACGAATAACCGCTGCAATAGCCATTCGAGCAGTACTTGAACAAGATGGATCTAGTTATAAAAATATCCGTGGAATCGTATTTGCTCTACCAATTATCGATGTAGAGAAAAATAGCACAAGCATTCGTGACACTTTTAGTGAGTTTGTTGAACATTTCCAGGAACCACCATATAATAGTCCTATACCTGTAATGATTGCTGATCAAGATATGCATCGATTAACTGTAGCTATTGCTCGTCAGGGTTTTATTGTTTCTGAACTAAATCCTGCTGATTCACATGGTGTCTTTGGCGAATATTGGCAAAATCGAGGACCAGCTGTAGAAGAAAAATTAGCTTTGACAACAGTTGGTTTACTCGTACAACATCATCTCATCAATCCACATGTGCTCAACACAAATAACTATTATTTCATATAATTTCATAAACAAATACAATTCAATATGGCATTTAGCTAGTTTAAATATTGATCAATTATGTTCGTATAATTATGAAGTTTATGTATAATAGATCTGTTCCAATCAAAGACCCATCATTCCTATTTCTTTTTATATACGGAACAAGAGTGTACTTATTCTGATCTAGATGAAAGGCGAGTTTTTATTTTTATTTTTTTGATGTAATATAATATTAAACATGTGTACAAGTGAATAAATGATTTAATCCATTCCAATTATCACAAACAAGAAAATAAGCCAGAAAAATTTCGTTTTGGTAGTTGTAAAATTCTTAATCGAAAAATTAACACTTGATAGAAAAGACAAGACAATTTTTCGGCTAAAAGAACTTTATATTTCGAATATTTGATTGAAAATATGTTATATATACAAACGATTGATACATATTACGATAAGTCAGAATTAAAATAAGAAATAGTTGAAAGATGAATATTACAGTAAAAATACTTTTCAGTAACATTTAGTTTTAATTATCATATTAAACATAATTTAAAAGTGACGTATTCAACATAAAGTGTTACTTATTTCTTTGTCAACTATACAGACTTTTCATGTATTGTTCGTTGTGCTGACTACTGATCCAAGTATATTTTTAGCAAAATAATCAAAAGTAAAAACAAGCTCAGTCCAATATTCAAAAAAACGATTATGAAAGAAATTTTCTAGTATAACTATCGTTTAACTTCAAGAAATTAACTTTTATTCAGAAGTAAGAAGACATCTTCAAAAGCTATCAATATTGCTTGTTAATTTTGAGAAAAAGTTCTGTAATAGCCAAGACTATTTTATTCAAAACTAAAATTGTTCACTTTTGAAGAATAACGAATTAAAATGTTCTTTAGTTTTTTTTTCTACATACGATATTATCAAGACATAGTATATGAGTTTTATATCGCATAATAAGACAAGTATACTAGCAGAAAACTGTTGATACAATTTTCTCTGTTTGGTAAATAAAATTCAAGCAAGTACCGAAACTTTCACAACATCACTAACATGAATGAAATTGGATTTTGATCGTGTACGTTTGATTATTAAATCTCTTTTATTGATCCTCATACTATTTCTTTTCCAAACCATCAAGTGTTCATATATGGTGTTTTACTTCATTAATTTTGCAATATGTTCCTGATTTTATGTGTGTTTTTTGTTCATAGAAGTTAGCAATAGTAATGAATCTGTTCTCCATCAAAAAATATAATACATAATCGAGATGCATAGATTATGCTCAATTCAATTACAATTATATAAAATATATGCGTAACATTAAAAGTCAGCAACGGAAACACTTACATCTATTGACAGTCGAAAATATCAAACGAAGGTATTTGGATGACATCATTTTGCTAAATTAGTAATAAATCAATCTAATTCATTGAAAATAAAACTTGTTAATCATACTTTAAGATTATCTGAACGAATTTCACTTTTTTTCTTCTAAAACTATACTTTGATATAACTGTCACATATTACATACATTCGTAGGAATGTTAAAAAAGATGTCAAGTCAGAAGCGTGGGCAGCAACATGATTCACGGTTTTGTTTTTTTTTGCGTTCTTATCGATATGGTACATAATTCAATGTAATACTCACATGAAGCAACGAAATAATAAAAAGTTGACTCACGATTTCGAATAAGACACGTTATTTCAATATGGCGACACGCGGTAGCATCAAAAAATCTTGTTGTAAGTGCAATAAAGGCGGTGCAACGTTCATTTGTGATGGATGTTATCGGGGGTTTTGTCTAAAACATGCATCTGATCATCGGCAAGAGCTTTCTCAGCAAATGGACAATATTGGACAACAACATGATATTTTGAGACGAGACATTGATCAGGACAATATTAACAAAACATTCTTTGAACAAATCGATGGATGGGAAAAAGAATCTATTGAAAATATTCGATCTGCTGCTGAAACAGTTCGAATTGATTTAAAACAATTAACTGAAGAATCAAAGAAACGATTAAATAATTTAATGAATAAATTATCAGATGAACTTCGTTCAAATCAAGAAAGTGATGACTATAAAGAAGATGATCTTGATCGGTGGGTAAAACAGCTTGAAGAATTACGAAAGGAAATTGAAAAATCCTCAGATATCAAAATAGTTACGAGCAATTTATCCTCTTTATCTTTAATAAAGATCATAAAAATAAATGCGTTTGAAAACAATGTTGCCGATTTGGTACCACAAAACACGACGTATTTTGTAGAAAGATTCAAAGAAGCTATTGGACCCGTCATAGTGTCAGCTGATGGACGCTCTGCAATCAGTATGTCAAAATTAAGTGATGCAGCCAGATTTTCTAGCACTTGTGGAGTTACTCTGTATTCATCTGGCATTCATCATCTACGATCTTGCATAAACACATCTCGTGACAGTGCAGTTTTCTTTGGCATTATTAAGTCATCCGAAATTATGACTACAGAATCGGCTCGATTAGCATCTGCATATGGCTGTTGGAGTCGTGGAAAATTAGTAACAAAAGGTATATATTCCACGGAATATGAAAAATTAGAAACACTACCGAATGATGAAGTAACAATCACATTAGATTGCAATGCTCGACAATTTAGCTATTTACATGAACGAACCAAAACGATTGTTACAGTATTAGTGCATGAATATGATTGTCCTCTGCCATGGAAGCTGGTGGTGACCTTATGGTATCCTGGTGATAAAATCGAAATACTAAATTCTTAAAATTTTCTACTCGGAGTATATATTGAATAAAATTGCATAAAATTTGTAATTTGTTATCAACATTTTTCTACATCGATATGGTTCTTCATGTTAACACCGAATTGATTGTAAATGTCCACGTAAATTTTAATACGAAATATATATATCATTTACAAATACTTTTGTTGATGTTGAGATAGGAATGGCGGAGTGCTAGACCACAGAAAAAAAGAAGCTGCTAAGACCGAAACCGAGACTACGAGAAAAAAACTCGTCTCAATCAAAACTAAAGATTTTATGATTTTAAACGACTTATCTTATAAATCATATCAATCTGAACATAATTCACGAGAGATGATTCAAAAAAGTGCTAATTGCCGATTAAATAAATAAAAAAAAGTATTAAAGAATTTTTTTTAGATGTGATACAATCATATCCTGGTAAAGTTTTCTCAAGACCGAAACCCGAAAAACTAAAATCACAGAAACCAAGACTAGATAAGATTTACCAAGGCCATAGCCGAAAGCAAAAAAGTTAGTCCTGCACATCTTCAAACAAGAGGTGTCTATAGCAATTTATTCTTCATGATTAGACAAGATGACAATTATATATCAACATTGATCTCTTTATTTGGTTTAGAAATCTTGTTTAACATTTTCTACATTCTTCTATTTCAACGAAAATACTACATCATATTAATTATCATATAGTATATATGATCAATATTTTTATTATTAGTATAAATTAATCAACATTTTTCATTCATAAATAACATATGCATGAATCAAACGAATAGAATAGGAAATTTTATATATAAAACGTAAGCTTAATTTACTAAGATCAATCAATTCAAGTAAATTTATATATCTTTAAAAATGTATTTGAATTCAATTTCTGTTTATTTATCAAAGGTAGTCAGGGTCATTGGAAAGAAACATAATGCGTTTTACACAATGCTTTTATTTTTCTTGCACAATCTTAACATTTTCTATCGTCATACCATGGTTTCTTCCAACTTTGTTCTTTTCTTTTACCTTGATGACACGGCGCAAGAAAAATACCAATACACATCATTACACAGACGATTCTTGAGAAAGTAACGAGAGTATTAAAAAATAATAAGTGAAAGTCTTTTTTTGTGTGTCCTAACATGGTAAGTTAACAAAATTGTTTTTATTTGTAACCAATGAATAATTTTTTAGTCGAAAAAACTTGATATAAAACCATCTGAATCTGTTGTTCCCAAAGAATCATCTCCTTTTCCAAAAGAATGTCAAGGCACTTGTTCAATATGTAATGATGATAATCTTACTTTGGTTACTCTTTCAAAACAATGTCAACATGAAGCAGCTTGTTGTATTCCATGCCTTACACAAAATATTTCTAATGGTATAACTGCAAAAGGTATTCATCGTTTTGAATGCCCTATGCCTACATGTAAAGTGGTATTTGAATCTTCGGAATATTATCGTTTACTCGATGCTCGATTAATTGCTTTGGTAGATAAACTTTTATTAAATCGATTTCTTGAATCAAATGAAGAATTTCGATGGTGTAAATCAAGAAAAGGATGTGGAGCTGGACAACTTGTATCAAATTATAAAGATTTACTTGGGTATGCAATATTTCAAAATTGATCTCCTTTTTTTTTTTGTTATTGTATGAACTCATCTTTTTTATTTTGTGTCTAGATATTATACATGTTATGCATGTTATCAACCATTATGTTTTCGACATGCAATTGAATGGCATACAGGTTATACATGTGATGAATTTGATCGAGAACGTACTCTCAATCCTGATTTAGCATCAGATGTAACTGTTCTTGCTTTTACAAAACAATGCCCAAATCAATCATGTCGTACACCAATTATGAAATTTGAAGGATGTGATGTAATGACATGTTGTCGATATGGAACACATACATGTATTGAATCAAAAGGTAAATGTGATCATGGTGGACAAAATTATTGTGGACAAAAATTTTGTTGGAAATGTTTGGGAAAAATTGATATTGATAAAAAAACTGGAGCATATATTAGACATTGTAATCAAAATTGTGAATATGCTACACTTAATAATTAAATAAGTATAAGAAGAAAAAATAAACTTTTGCGAATTTTTATATTAAAAACAAACGACTAGTTTTTTATATACGATCAAGGACTATATATTAATAATGCCTTGTTATAATATATTAATCATTTTCTTATTGCATTTCTGAAGAGGATGGTAAAGAAATGTGTCGCAAATTAGATAGGATAAAACAATCCTACTGAGATTATCAACAGCAGCTACATCATATTTGACATTTTGAATCTCATAGAACTTGCACTAACAGATGTTTACTGACTTTGATGCACTTTATTTACTACTATCTTCCGTCTAAGAGTTTCTATTATTTCATAATATTATCAAGATTGTGAATATTTTGAAGGACTAATACAATGTTGTATGTAGATTTTCTCTTCCGAGAAGGCGACGACCTATTTTTGAGAGGACAGACACATAATACGTAGTGCAATGATCATAAACTTCGGAAGAAACGCATCTCTCTGGGCTCTCATGCTGGACTCGTATATGATATTTGAACAAAGAAATAATGAAATTTGATCAGCCAACGTTTTCTGATATTTTCAGAAGGTCGAACTGATAATATCACATTTGATACACACAGATGATATAGAGGATATCAGGATTCGCTTTTTCTTCATTGAATTCAAATTTTCTGATATCGTACATATGTTGTCAATTTTTTCAACAAAATTGACAGTTCGAACAGTTTACTCCTTTTTTATTATCAAGTTTCTGATAATTTATCTGTTAAATTAATATATTCACTTTCGAAGAGATTGATTTCAACTCAAAAAAAGTCGATTACAATATACCACAGTATATTGTGTCAGATGACGCCATACTTTTTCTTATTAATTAAGTCTTCTAGCTAGTTAATGACAATTTTTCTAGCATCATCTTTTTTAATAAATAATCAAACTCGAAAACTAAACGACAACGTAGCTGGTATAGGCGAGTTGAGCATGCTCACTATAATATGAAATCATGATATTGACTGAAATGTAAAATTTTTTTTAAAAGTTTCAAAAATATTCATGCACTAAGATGCGATTTAAGTGACATGATTAAAGCTTCCTTTAAATATATATATATATGTCGACTAATGCCATCTATGATTATTTTTACTTATACCAAACTGCAAATAATATAAATCTTATGATATATCTTTTATTTTAAATTCTATTGTTTTAATTATAAATTTTTCTATTAGAAATAATTATCAATATCAAAAAAAAAAATTTCCAACCAATTACTAATCAAATTATGAATCATACAATTAAAGTCGCATTTTTTTTTTATATAAAACATGATTGGTAATGTTCTGTTCTGTTCCGTTCTGTTCTAGAGCAGTTTATTACTCTTCATATACTAACCTTGTTATTAACATTACATTGAAAGATCAAAATAAAAAAACAACAACATATTGAAGCTATGAGTCTTATGTCTTTATCTGATGAAAAAAAAAATTTGCTATTTACTTTTTATGCTTTATCATTATTTGACAACAAACGAAAAACAAATAAAATATTTAGATAAGAAAAAAAATTCCGTCTCGTAATAAATCAGTTAGTCAATTCTTTTTATTACATAGACTAAATAATAATTAACTTTTTAATGAACTTCTATGATTTGAAATGTTTTTCTAGATAGGTAAAATAAAAAAATGAGCCTTGGCGGTGGCGATTTACAAGTCATATTAAGACGCATACGTCATGGTAAATCATAAATAATTTCTTTTGTTCTTTGATTTGTATTATTATTATTATTAATAGGTTTCATTGTCTGTGATGATTCAGAATTATGCGACAAAATTATAAGTCAAGAAGTTGACAATGAGCAAAGACGAAGAAATTTAGCAAAATCGTTCGTTCTAAACAACAAAAAAAAAATTTCTTTTTCTTACTTTATAATTTAAATAGGAAAGGAATTAGTCTCGAAAAAACTGATTTATTAAATACACTTCGAACAGAACAAGATTTTATTCTTGATGAATTATCACATTCACCTGAATGGACAACAGCTAATGTTCAAGGTATGTTTATATGATCTTTATTTAGTTCGTTTTTACATTTAATAAATCTGAGATTATCATACTCAGTTCTGATCTTATTGATCAAATAATCTATTTGAAGATTATACAAATAAACATATTTCTCATCGTAAGCTCTTTTATTCTATGCTGCTCAAATGATATACTTAACAAAAATAAAACATCACAAAATGCTTCATTATCTGAATTGTTGTCAATATTGCTTACTAAAAACTTTCACAATAGCAATAGATATAGAAAAATCTATTAATGCACCAACAAATAAAAAAATATTTATGTAACTTTTTGATCTATAATATAAATATATTATGTTTTCTTTTTTTTTTGATTATAAACAATGTTTATGATTATTATCAAACAAAGAATTTATCATGTTATATATATATGAAGGAAATATTTAATATGAATAGAATAGTATTCTTCTTTTGTTCTTTTATATAAAGTCTAATCAATGAGAAACAAAACATTTTGGGTATTGACTATAAACAAAAACTATTAGAACAACTAAGCAATATTGTTGAGTACTACACACTACTTATGTCTATTTTCCTGTCATGTTGAGAGATTACTTATTGTTAATATCTTCGGCTATTTGTTCGACTGATCATTTATGAAGGCAGGTATTATGTATGTTAGATATAAACGGGACTAACATCTGCCATTTGAGCTCATTTTGGATCCACAGGCAGGTCTCAATGAGATTAGTAAAAGCCTAAAAGGGTTTGTCACTGAGTTATGATCAGTGAAGTAGATAGGTCTCGAAAAAATCAAATAATAGAATTTCGATCTAAAATTTTATCTATAGGTAAAATTTGATAAAAACTCTAGTAAACCGGTCATAACCTGGCGTCAAAGGTCAATGAGGACGAAGCCTTTTAGTCTTTTGCTAATCTCACTGAAACTTGCCTATGGGTCTCAAATGGCGGGTGTCATTTGGGATAGTTCGCCATCCTGCTCCGTTTAGTAAACTTCTCTCCGCAATAGCAGACTCCCCCCCCCCCTTAAATAATTAATTTCTCGCAAAATCGAAACTTTAATTAATAGATTGACGTCAAAATATGCCTGATTTTTAGGATTTTGATCTTAAAAATTTGAGTTCAACATTATTTCTGAGCTTTTAAAATTTTCTTTCCATTTTGGTTTGAGAATGAATAGGATCTGAAGACAAACTCTAGATCAGCTTAATGTTCTTTCGATGAAATACTAAAATATCTTAATTATGAAAATTTTTCAACTCTTCTTTTCTTATACATATAATTGCATGCAGATCAATAAACAATAAAAGCTTTCTTTTTTTAAGAAATATTCTGATTCTAATAAAATATAATCAATAGAAAAAAAGAAACAAAAAGACATTCGATTTCTTATAGTTCGACGAGTTCGTTGTGAAACATTGGGTCGACTTAGTGAAATCAAAACTGAAAATGAAGCTAAACGGACAGTAAAAATTATTTCATGGCAAGATCCATCTACAGCTCAAACGAATAATAAACGTAATACTAAAAAAACAACAACAAATAAAACAAAAATTTCTCTCTAATTTAATAGATTCAAATGAATTATTTGATTTCGAAAATGATATTGATGATTCTACATCTTTATTTCAACGTCGTACAGAACCAATTTTACCTCTAAAACAACCATCACCTCTTACAGCTCTTATTCAATCAACAACATGTAAACAAAATCCATTTGCAAATTATGCAAAATTTGATGGAACAGTATGTTGTTGTTTTTTTATCATAATGATTATAAAAATAATTAGTTGTTACTTTTCTTATATTTTTTTTTTGTCATTTAGCCAAATATAAGTTCAAATCAAGCAAAAACATTTACTGTTCATTTTAAATTTCAAAAACAAAAACTTCCTGTTATTGTTTCTTCAAATGCTACAGTTACAGAAACAATTGGATTTGCTTGTTATAAATATACAATGGAGAATCTTGAACCAATTCTAACGTAAATTAATTTAAAGCTTTTTTTTTTCAGAAAATTTCCATGAGATCATCGGGTATACGAGGCACGTCGATTGCGCATTGAATACATCAATATTTGAAATTACCAATCTCAAAATTTTTAGTTTCCGATAGTCTTTCTTTCAAAAACTAGTCAATACCCACTTTTTACCACCATGAATCCAAAATACTCATTTTATAAGAATCTATTTCCAACCGGAATTCAGAATCAGAGAGTATGTTATACAATTTTTTATGCTCTACAAAATGGTATATCCGGGACGACATGAGGTTCACACCTTTCTTCTAGATAGTGAGTTTTGAGGATTTTTTTGATAGAAAAAGAACATTTTAAACAGTTTTCATTGTCATGATACGATTGTAAAGTAGAATGAATGTGACAACGTTACAAACTACATTGAATCAAATATATTTCAGAGAAATTTTTTCCTACGAAAAATTGACCATAAAGTACAGCCGTAGGGGACTAGAGAGTAGTTTTAGACAACAATGCATTGAATACATGAAAAAGTAAAGGAAAAATTTTTCATTTTTTAAAATGAATGTCTCGTGTATTCGATGATCTCATAATTTTTCTCTTAGTAAATTCTAACCATGTTTCTTATATAGTCAAAAAGATCCGTCCAAATATTCTCTTTATATTGGTGATGATGATGGTGAAGCTGAAGAAGAATTTCCTCCATTAACAAATGAACGAGCAATTGGTCAATATGATTTTCCTCATTTAGTATTAATTGAACAAGTAACACAAGGAAAAGTATCAACATCTTCTATACCATCAACTAGTGATGGAACTTATACTGATGATGATGAAAATTATAATGACAGTAATGAGGTTGATGATGATGATGATGATGGTTCATTTCATGATTCATCACGTTCAATAACACCACCATCAAGTGAACATCGAAAATCTTCTAGTTCACTTGGAAAATCTTCAACGAATGTTATTGTTCAAGATATTTCAAATGAAAATGATCCAATCAATGATTTAAATCGTTTATATGAAAGCCTTAATCAAAAATCATATATTTTTGATTATTATCTTAAATTAAGCAGTAGTAAAAATGTTAAACTTCGTATTGATGTGTCTGGTGAACAAGTACGTTTGGATTTATTAGAAAAAACAAGTAAATTACCATGGCAAAGTATGTCATTAACAACACAACGTTTAGTTGATTGTAATATATTGAATAAAGATCGAAGTAGAAAACGAGGTAAGTATATTTTATATTCTTGTGTCTATTCATTTTCTATATGTTGTAATATAATATTCTTATTTGAAATAATAAGATCATCAAAATGAAACAAGAATTCGATAGAACAAAAAAAAACAAATCTTTGACTGATGAGATAAGATTTCTTTTTCATTTGAAAAACTAGATCTGATTCTTTTTTTTTATTAGAGAAAAATAATAATTTCTTTGATAATCTCTCTCAAGATTTCTGTGCTTTATATTCTTATAATTAATATGGACGTACTAGAATTTCGTTTTACTATTATCTTATTGTCAAAGTTATGACAGATATTGACAAATCTATAAACACTAAATAGAATTTGAATAGATCATTAAAAAAAAAGAACCGAAATTGTAATGTTTTTAAAATGTTAATTTATGTCATTTGTATAAAAATATTAATGGTAGACTTGATAGAAAATTTTATTATATATTTTTATATATTTATAGATCGTACACGCGTTTATCTTGTATTTGAAAGTCAACAGGAATCGAGCGGTGCACAATCATACGAAACATATGAATTAGAATCAACAATAGAAATAGCTGAACAATTCCGTGATCAAATTCTTAATATAATTAAATTAAAAAATCCACAAGGTCATGATACATATGAACAACATCAACAACAACGTGAAAATACAAAAAAACGACGTTCCTTTTTCAATATATTAGGAGTCGGCAATCCTAATACTGGCTAATCAACCAAATATTAGATGATGTATTTTTCTTTTTCTTTTTGTCTCGAGTTTATTTTTTTTTTCTATATGTAACAGTAAATAAAACGAAAGCAGTCAGTTTTTATCAAGGAAAAAAATTTGAAACACAAAGTTACTCACATTATCTTTTGATTGTGAAAATCCATGGTTGATCACGACTTTTGACAAAAAAAAAATGTACGTTCAAATGATGTACTCTTCTGTTGATTTTTCGATGAAATTGATATTATCGATTATGAAAACAACGCAACCGATACAAGATTAAAATGTGAAACACAATTGATTTGTATATACTGTAAATCAATGGATTCTGTAATATGTGCTTCAGTTTAGGACTGCTAAGATATTGATATATCCATGATGAAAGATGTTATTCGTAATATGTCATAGTGAGTTTGAAAAGGAGGTCAAAAAAAAGTATTTTAAATTCAATCCTCTTTCATATTAATCTTACAGAAGGCTTTCGTTTCGTAGTAATGTCTGTCATAATCTCTAACTGGTGCCTGTCATAGTCTATATTCTTATAACAGTCTGTAGAGAGGGGCTGCGTCAAAATTTCTACCGCTATACTTTAACACTCCTTTTAGACTGTATTTCACAATAAGCAAACTCGTAAATTAAGCGAAAACAAGCGATGTGATTGGCATCGACTGCTTCAGCCCGTTCACAATGGCAGAAAGTCAAGGAGAAAAAAGCGATACATCAGTAAGTCTCGCTTTTCCTTCCTTAGTGGAGTATGGGTGATCAAAGATCGAAAAATTTTGGAAACCATTATATACTCATTAGTGTGAATGCGGGCGTGGATCTTCTCTTCATTAGCACCCTACTACTCGTATAGAACTGATTATTACACACAACTAAGACATTGATCATGCCGTAAGTAGCCGCCAGTTGTTTGTTAAGAAATAATTCAATAGATCATGGCTTTGACACGATTTTTAATCCTAACTTATATTGTATCATTAACAAACTCTTAAACAAAAGCTTTGTGTTTTAGCATAAAAAAAATCTTCTCATGATTTTCAATTTATATATTCTAACATTGATACATGAAAGAAAAAGTTACAATTGTCTTTTGAATTTTGTTAAAAATCATTCGTTATTCACAGATTTATACTCTATATTTTACTGTTCAAAGTTAATTTAGTCAATGTAATCATTTTGTTGTTCTCTTATCATGAAAAAATACTTGTGTAAAAGTAACAAAAACATGTTCCTCAGTATTATATAGAGTTTTGTTCTAAAAAATATTTAAACAAAAATAGTAAGAGAATAGTTCATGCGTAATTATTAACAGCTATCAGTGAGAAACAGTTTCAAACACACACAAAAAAAAGAAAACAGTAAAGAATATATTAGTTTTCTGTATTTAATGCTTGAATAAATTCTTCTAATTTTTCTTGAATTTGTCGAACACGTTCTAAAATATTAAAAAATAAAATATTTTCTTTATTTTTTTGAAATTCAATAGAATATCTTACTAAGTTCTTCAGCTAAATCAACTCGTTTTCCTTTAAGAAGATTTGCTTTAAGTGTTTCATCACTACTAAAATCATCTAAAATTTCTTTTACTTCTCGTTCAAGTCGACGAGCTATAAAAACAAAATCAAAATTGAGAATATGAAAATTTTAATAAAAAAATTTTTAAAAATTACTTTCAATATTTGATATTTGTTGTCGAATAGCATTACTTGTTATTTCAATCATACGTTTTAAACGCCAAAAAAATACAACTTCATGACAATCAAGCTAAAGAAAAAGAAAGAAATAATAAATATGAAAAACAAATCTTATCAATAATTATAATCGATTTACGTACACCTTGATCTGAAAAACCTTTTTGATAATAATAAAAAAATCGACGACAATCAAGACATGTCGATAAATTTCGTTTAAGAAAATGAATTTTATATACACGTTGCCATATATCAGTTATCTAATCAATTATAGGAAAAACAAAATATATATATATATGAATATAAATAGAATATATTTATTTAACATACAAAATCATTAGATACATCAATTTTTTGTGTTTGAAGATTTTTCTTTACAGTTGTTAATTCATCATAGTCAAGAGTTGAACGTAACTAAAACATATTAAATTATATATTTATAGATAGATATTTTTCTAACGAGGAAATTCCTTCAATTGACACTCGTCGTTTAAGTTCATATTTGACCGACAAGAAAGTCTCGATGAAAGAGTTCGTACTCTTAACTTATTGCTACAGAAATACTGTACTTTTACGCTGTCGTAGTCCTTCTTCAGGAACACTAGAGAATCTAATTTTCGAATTTCAACTTGAAACTCTACGAACTCTTGTCAGAATATTCATAGATCACTTGGATCTATATGATGTATGTATTCGAGATTGAACAGTTGGAGAATTTCTCTCGTCAGCATTAAAACTTCATAGGGGTGAGACTAACAGCAAGTATCAGTTGTACTAGTTCCCTTGTAAGATATTCTTAAAAAACATACATTTGATTGAAATCTACTTCTGTTGATAATACAAAAGTTAATAATATCATAAGAAACCTATGTTAAATGGAAAATTTCTGATCTTTATGTATATCTGTTATCCATTCTTTCATGAATAGCTATTTATTTTATTCTTTTTTAAAATACGTCTTTTTAATTTTCTCGATATATTTCTTGATTTGTTAATTTTCTTATTGAAGTAAAACTTACACGATAATTATTTTCCGTTGTTTGATCTAATTGTTGTCTAGTATTTAAAATTTTTTCTAATTCTTTCATACATTGTTGTCGATATTTTTCTTCTATAGTTAATTGTTGAAAACCAATAAATTTACGCCATGAACTTTGATTTTTATTTGAATTTAATTCTAATTCTTGATATTCTAATTCTTTTCTTATAACATTTTCCATAAATTTTGCAGCTGATTCCCATTGTTGTTTATCCGATACATTACGATCTTGTAATGCTTGTGTTTGAATAACTCTCTATATAAAAAAAAACAACAACATGATTTACAATTAAAATACGAACAAAAAAGAAAAAATAAAACAATGTTTAGTTTTTATACAAGTGAATCAAGTGCTTTAACATCCCATTGATGTCTTGTACGACATTCTTGAACAACATGCATTTTTAAACCATTTGTTATTGGATCATATGAACGACTTTTTTGTTCACGTTCAATTAAATTTTGAAATTCATCTAATAAAGCATGATGACCAATATCAATACATTGACGTGGTAAGACTTTTTCAGTCCATTGTTGTAATTTAACATCAACTGTTGTATTAAAATCACTATGAAAATAAATATATATATAGAATTTTATATTCTTTAAAAATTTTTATTTATTTGTTTTTACCCGATAGATTGAGCTTGTGCAGCTGTTAAAAATACATCATCGAAAATAAAATTAGACATTGTTGTCCATAAATATTTTGATAAATTATCTTCCCTGAAAGAAGAAATCTTTTGATTTTAGAAAAATACTATTTTCTTTTTTTTTTCTTCTATTACCATTGTTGACTTGGTATTAAACTAACATTAACAACTTCGTCAAGTATTTCACCACGAGCTTTTTCAAATAATTCATCCTGATATAAAATAAAAATGGAAGATTTTTTAAAGATTTTTTTTTATTTTTGGATTACAAACTCGATCTTGTTCACGTAGTTTTGGAAAACTATTTTTCCATTCCGTTTCTAAATTAAATTTTGTTGCTTTAAATGTATCTGCTTGTTGTTCAACACTTTCTTTAACCATTTTCCAAAAACAATCACTAACAGCAAAACTTAAATTGCGTGTTGTTGTTTGACTAGTTTTAAAAATACCATCACTATTAATAATAATTTCAAATAAATATAAAGAAATTAGAAAAAAAAATTCTTTTTTTTTTGTTTTTCTATACCGAAATAATTTTGAATTATGAAAAAAGTCTTCTTCATATTTTTGTATTGATTCTATTGGATCATCAGCATTTCCTATAAACAGTTTTTTTATTTATTAAAATGAAAACAACTTTTTCTTTTTCGAATGACTATTATGATTTTTAGGAATCTATTTAAATAGAGATTTTGTGGAACTCATATTGTGTTTTTCGAAGCCAAGGTCAGCGCATTAATTGGCGACGGCTGAAATTTTTCAATGAATTTTCAAAAAATTGTCTTAACTTTGGAAAATTTTGAAAAATCAAATATATATTTGTGTGTCGCGACGGCGGCTCAGCGGATCGGCTTACATCTTTAAAAGGAGGGAGTGATTGGATACGTTCTCATAGTAATCGAAGACAACAGGCATTAGACTCTTTTTCCGGAGTTCCTTGTCAATGCCATAGTCGTAGTAAAAAGTGTGAATTAATCAAGTTCTAACTTTGAGAAATAATCAATATTAGCATTTCTGAGCTTATCGAGATATATAGTAGTCTGTTGACATCTGCTGTCGATATAACGAATATGTATAAAAACCAGTTAAATCAATCGATAGAGTAATAATAATGTTAAATTAAGCAAAACGAGATATGAAAAAAGCAACAAGGCAAAAAAAAAATAGTGAGCTAATAAATTTTTGTCTTACTAGAGAAGCTCTTCAAGTGTGATTCACCAATCGAACTGATATTTTGTCTATAAGTAGGTATCGTAGACCTTAGAATGATCTGCAAATTTCAACCTAAAGGAATGCGTTATTCCTGAGATATCGAATATTGAAAACATTCGACTTTCTTATCTTTTCTTGTGATATATGATAGTTTTTGAATATACAAAATATCTCACAAACAACATATCTCTTTAGGTTGAAATTCTCAGATCATTCTAAGATCTACAAAACCTACTGATGAGCAAAATATGAATTCGATTGGTAACACACACTTGGGAACTTTCTCTCATTAATATCATAAAACTAAAGAGCACATATGAGTTCCACATTTAATCCTCAAAGCGACTACTCTTACAAACTTTTTAACATTTATTATTAAAACAAACTTTTTTTCAAAGCGCT